TAGAATCAGTAGATCTTACTATCAGTAATTTGGACCTATCGAATTTAAGAAGAATAACTACATGACATTGACAGGTATGTTAATTTATAAATCTATAATATATTTTTATTTTATATACATGGTTTAAAGATTTTTTTAATATTTTACTATTTATTTTTTTTTCTTATTTCTTTATTTTAATATTATAATATAAAATATAATTATTTTTTGAGTAATTATTATTAAAAGAGAAATTGAATGTTTGATAATTGATAATTGTATCAAAAGTGAAATATTAAAAAATCTTCAAAAATATAATTATAATTTTAAATTATTTTAATCTTGCTGTTAAATTGAAATTATTAAAATCATTAATTCAATTAAATTATCATTTACATTATTAATAGAATTGATAGAATATAAAAAAATCATATAATTTAATAAAATAATAATAAATAAAATTAAAATTTGATTTATTTCGACATATTTATTATATTTATATATAATTTACTTGCCTATTGTAATTTGTAATTACAGAATTAAATTTATGATTATAATCTTATTTATGGTAGATCGGTAATGTTGGAAATGATTCTAGTAAAAGATTCTTAAGACTTTTACAATATGAAATCTATATTTTATTTGTATTAAAATAATATGAAAGATTTATCTGTAATAAAATAGCGTATTTATAATTTTATCCATATATAATGTCGATAATTTTTTTCTTAAATAATGGGAGGGTTTTTTAATCATCGTTATCTATTTCCCGCCAATTCGCAATCTCGTGGTAGCATGCGAGCTCTCGCGGTCATATTCAGTATTAAACTAAGTAGTATTCGAAGAATGAGTTGAAAATTTTTATCTTATTATTATTTATAATAATTAATATTTCATTATCGCATCTTAATTTTTGGTATATCAATAAAAAATCAATTGCATATTGTATAGAAGTATTAAAAATCATTCTTCGATTTCAAACTATATCAAAATATAATATTCATCGATTTTTAAAATCTTACAATTTTCTATTGTTTTATATTTAGGATAATCTGATAGAATATACCTAAATACGATTAGAAACTATTAATACACACAATACACTATTAGTATCTGAATTTATAAATTAATAATATCTTCGATATTGTAATATTAAAATCACATAGTAAATATAATTATTTTATGCTATTGAAGAAGATTTATTTCTAAAAAGTTAATTCCACTGTCTGAGATTTATATCGTATTTATCGTATATACATATAGTAAGAAAATTATTGAATATCGATCACTAATAAATACTTACTCTTCACGTTTGTCCTTTCTACCCCTCTACGTGACGCATCACAGAATAAACTGAAACCTGGCTTACATTACGAGCAGGTGAAGGCGCCGGTGTCAGTAAACCTCCGGTCGTCTTAAAGAGCGGATCGCGTCAACGAATGTCTCTTCCTTCACGAAACTTAGTGAACGAAAGTTGTGATAGTTCTGTTTCATTCCAACAATGAAAATTAATTTTTATCTACATCGTGTTAGTTCGTGAATGAATTTTATTTCATGTGCCTTTTGAATTATGCATCAGGAAAGTTGAGCACGTGTGATTCAGAGGAAATTCAGGTAACATCTTTGCATTGTGTTTTTTGATTTTTTCCGATATTGTGGAATAGTCAAACGAATCATTGAAATTTAAAATTAGATATTGCTTGATTATCCGTATATAAGTGTTTCTTAGAAATTAGAATTTAGAAACTGGATTTTGTATCTAAGAAATAACGGTGTGTTTAAGGATCGGTCGAGATCTTATCGAAGATAACTTCATACATGCAAACATAGGATTAATGTTTTTTATTTTTTAAATATTTCCCAACGATGACGAAGGATCTCGTTTGAACTTCCTTGCTCTATCTCTTTAAAGAAACGTTGGTTCTGGATCTCCCTGATTCTGACGATCTCTCCAATGTATTTTCGTTCATGAAAAAAAACTTAACGAGCAATTTCATTTACACACGATCGCAAAAAATGAACACGCAACGTCACTATGAATCAGGACAAGTAGCTTTTACACACATATGCACATGTGACGAGAAGCTTGTGCTAATAAATCAGCGGAAGAGAATGCGTCTATGTTCATTGCAAAAAAAAAAGAAAAACGGCGATCGTTAGTTTTGTGCCAATTATGGCAATTATAAAATACCGTGTTTTTTTTTCTTAATGCAAAATCACTCGGCACGTTTTCTCGGCGAATGATTACATTGACGTTATTATTCCCCTGTTTGTTGCATACACAACAGTGGAATACACTGGAATACTATTGTTCTCTTCAATGAAAACCCTTGCACGGTGGAACGAGTTTTATTCAGAAGAAAACAAGCCGTGGAATCAGGACTATTATTCTTCCACGATCTATTCGCGATGAATAATAATTATGAAATATTTCGTGGGATAAAGAAACTTGGTCGAATCGACAAAGGAGAATTATTAGCCTTAAGTGAACGAAGTCTTAAGCGTGGTTAAATTTTCTACATCGATTCAATTAACACTGTCATACCATCTTCCTGGTAACTACTTTCTTTGTTTTGTACACATTGGTGACTAAATAACTCGGTGAACTAGTATTGCGTAACTGCATGAGCGTACACACGTAGAAGTCGTGCGAATCAGTAACGCGAACTCGAATAATTATTTATGTTTGAAGAAATTAACGATAGAAGCAATCGAATTTCATAAATAACAAGAATTTCTTACGTTTTTCTTGCTACTACGACTAAAAAAAATATCCCGTTTCGATAGTCATTATTAATCATACAACGAAATTTTCGCGTGGGTCGATGTTGATTCGTGTCAGAGACATTTCACGACGTATCAACTGATTCTATCACGATAGTTTCGATTCGTCGAAAACTAGGCGAGAAAGAAAAAATATATATTTTAAATAGTAACAATATATTCTGCAGTCTGAAAGCGACGTAAAATGTTTATAATACACGTGTACGGTTCATCCTCTTTTCCACATGGAATAAAATCACCGATAATGGAAATGACTATCATTCCGGGTTTAAATAAATTAGCCATTCGATCCATCCATGGACGTAACATAACGGTGCTTCGATTTCGTGCTCATAGATTCTACATTTCAGCGTAATGATTTTATTGGTCGGCATACGCACCAATTTACGTAAATACGCACTGTCTACTTTTTCTTCTCCTTCTCCTTCTCCTCATGCAGCTGTTATCCGTTTCACATTGCACGAGGATTCTTTTGACGATGACTCGTTAAACGTAACTTATAACTCGATACCAACTTACGACATACCGAGCAATTTAATGTCCTCTGATGCTAATAAACCAATTCCACGGCCTGGTTACCTAGCCAATCATAAGACGTACAGTTTCGATCAAGTCATTTCGTCTAACAGAACGATTGATTACAACGAGATCTGTAGGAGCAAACAGAATTATCCTGGAAACAACTTGGAAAAAAACAATCATAAGTTCTTGAATCGATTCTATCATTTATGAAAAAACGATAGAGATATATTCACATAGTCATTAGTACATGTATAACCTATTAGGCTGAGATTGCAAATTCTTATTTTCCCATCGATGAATGAATATTAATCGTCTATCTTTATAATTAAAATTAGAAAATTCGAAGATAACCATCATATCGATTAATCGTAGAAAGTAATAACGATGCTATCTTATTTACAGACAAACGATATTGCGATAACTGATATCTTTATAATACAGAATGAAATTGGAATACGAATATTGAATTTTTTAGTATACATTCTTTTAACGTTATCAAAGATTGAAAGTACTAAAAACTTTTATTCCTTGGATCATAAGGAACAGGTATACTAATATACTCTTCACGTTACTCGATGGTATAATAAGTAGAAGATAAACGAATAACGCATATTTTGGAAACATCGGATTGTTTTCCTGAGAACTTCCGTTAGATCGTACATGTTAATGTATTAACGAAGAAACACGATTCTTTTACCACATAGGAGAGAATAAATTGCTCGTTAATTTCTACCAACGTTACTCGAAGCGAAACGAATTGCGATATTCTTCCAATTTAATGCGAACGATAAGTCAAATTCGAAACACGTTTTACTTTCAATAATAAATATTTATATGCGGTTGCATCGATTAAATTTCTACTGTATTAATAACTGTACACGTATATCTGCGGAATTACGGATAAAAAAAGTTTTACGAGGACTGAGGTTCGGAACAAAAGTTCGATGTCGGATACGATGAACTTTAACTCAACTCGACTAAACAAGTTTCGCTAAAAACGATGATAAAAAAAAAAAAAAAAAAATAGAGAGAAAGAAATTACTCTATTAAAGCAATATGCAATCGAGATCTAAGAATTATTGAAGTGGAGTTAATGAACATGCATGAGTTATATTTATAATAATAATCCGGATATGAAATAACGGGTGTAACGATGATAAATTTCTATACATGATTCCAGAGCGATAGATTACAATCAATTTGTGGGGTACTTGAACTTCACGCACTCGCACGCCTGTTAATTTCTTAGTGTAATTAAAACGAGAGAAACCAGGCAGGAATTTTTGTTTTTATATTTAATCTCGCAACTTTCAAAGTCGCGCTCGTTCATATTGTAACTTCTCGCATTTAACGATCAATGCGACCGATGCAACGGAATAATATTATATTTCCGTTTCTTAAACGGACCGGTTCAGATTAATACATAGTTCCCTGGCATTCCATTACTTGGAAAGTAGTTCAGGGACATCTCATCGATATTGGACGTGTTTCAACTCGTATTTAATTCTCTAACGTTTAACGATCCGAGACGATATCATGATTCGATGCATCGATCACTTTCCCGTAACGTGTGTCAAAAAATTAAATGGTTAGAAACTAATATAATACGCACGCACGCGATGCGCAAACACGTCGATCGTCCAGTTGAAAGATCGTTGGAGCAATAAAAACTAAAAATTAAGATATATAGACCGTGACGATTGGAGAAGCCGGCCGACACGCGACAATTTCTTTCTCTATTCTCCGCCACGGCTGCGTAAAAATTTCACCGTGGTTACTTCTTCTCCCGAAGAAAGTTAATAAGAAAGTTTCCTCCCCGTTAATTGCCGGGACAAACGCATTTGCCTCGGTTTTTAAACGCAGTCGAATCATTTGAATGGGATCATTTTCGTAGAAGCCGTTTTTAGCCGTTAACTTAGGAGCGATGAATGATCGTCCGGGAAAATTACTGAAATCGTAAATCGATCTGTCCGGAAAATGGTAATCGGTAACGTTTTGCCGCATGTAATCAGTTGACGTGATAAATTGGCGAGATATTTATTATCGTGAAAGCGCGTGCAACGCGCCTCTCATTGATCCAACGTGCTACACTTCTTTTTCCTCTTCCTCTTCTTGTCGGTGCACGTAGTATTTTTCTTTTCTCTCTCTTTTTTTCTTTTTTCCTTTACCAGTAGCAACAAGCTGATGCATCTGCAACAGGTTCCCAGATGATCTAAAGGTTAAAAATACAGAAGATACGGTAACCATAAATTAGTCGATTGACTGAAAGAAATGTGAGAAACGAAGCGACTTACGCATAAACTTTCCTGGTACGGATATAATACAACGATACCACTATTATCGTCGTCATCGCCGTAATCATTATCGTTATTATCATCCGTTAATTACCTGCGTCCAATTACCTGCCGCATCTTAACATTTTTTCTCTCTCACCTAGGAACGCTTATTTTCGATTCCATTCACCGTTACCGTTTCAAGCTAGAGACCGCGTTAATACATTATTAAACACACACAAGAACCATTTATATTTCCGTGTTTTCATACACATGGTGAAAAATCAAGGAGAAACAGGGACACATTCGCATCGGATTAATTAGAAGAAAGTCGCGTACGAAATCAACTTTCCATCGCAACGTCTGTCCATCAACTGGAAATATTTAATTAAATAGAATTATTTTAACGACTCGTATATACTATGTAGATCTTCTCGGATGAAACTAGTCTCGCGATGTTTGAGTGACACGTGTTTGCTCAACTGATTCATTATCCGTATGGTTAAGCATTTTCTTTGTTGATACGTTAAACAATCTTCCATTCAAGCGATTCGAAAAGCCACGAAGATAAAAATATCTAATGAAAAAGTGATCACGGATATAAAAGATCTTGGCTTTGATTTCCAATTATTCTCTGTCCAACTATTTTTCGATACGACGCGAAAATGGAGCGTGTAATAGGTGTGAATGTTAAATAAAAAGCGGCATTCAAAAAAGCGTCGTATATATGTTGTTGCAGGTTGAGCGAATATCTCGTTCTTGTTGCGATCGATAGAGGGCCGATCCATACCGTGGATCATGGTTTTTACGAGGTCTTATTTATCCATCGGCTTCCGGAAACGTCTGAGAGGTTTTTCAAGGCGAAACGCAAGAAGCAGACGATCGGTTTGCAGTAAGAGAGCAAACGGTCTGCGGACGGTCCATTAAATCGAACGATCGGGAACGAGATAATCATTCGTTCACGTTTACTTTCCGCTACGATCGATTCATTGTAAAAGCTATTGCGTAACAATGACAACCGTTTTTTGGCTGTCTTTTGTCGTTTTTTCGAATTCCAAATTTGGCACTTTTTCTTAATGAAAAATCACGCATTAGATGAAAATAGATGGTTTTTCAAACTGAAATTCAAAATACGAACGAAATCGATAGATCTGATTACACGAACCGCTTTAATGTTTTAACGAGTTTAATATTATATTATCCGTAAGAAATGGAATACTATCCCAATCACGAATGATTATTTTGATTGGTCCAGGTTGAAATAGCTCCTCGATTAATCCTTCTCGAAAAGATCCCACGGAATACTTGTAAATCGCAGATAAATCACGAGACCACCATTGGATACGATCACGACGCCTCTGTGTCGTTTCCTAGTGGTCCGTGTAAACACATCACGTGGTTAAAAGCACGTGTAGCAATGCCGTGGCCCTCGTGTTGCATAGGGAATGAGGCTGGCGTGGCTGAATTTCAACCGATCGAACGTGAATTTCTGCGAGCGCGCACGACTTCCTCTCGCGCATTCCATGCCCGTTACACACGGCGACTCGGCATTCCAGCCACGGAGTTCCTAAAGCCTCGTTCACAGCGCACCAACTTGGCGGCTGTATGCACCGACGGTGTAACCGTGACTTCGCGTTCCTTTGTCTGTTGGCCAGAACAAAAAAAGATATACACTCGTGCCGGCGGAAGTGTCGATTTTGTACGCGAAATCGTTTTCCCTTGTCCCAAGGAAACGTTCTCACGACCCGCTGTGATTCGTTACGCCACGACAATCCCAGTCGTTCTCAGTCCACGTTCTCGCTTTTACATCGAGAACCGACGAATTTTCCCCGTGCTTTGAACCCCGGTTCATAAAATTTATACTCGTTGACCGCCGATGCATCGTTGCAAAATTTATACTTTCGACGTTGAATTCGTATAATCATTTTCGTATAAGATGCGGAATCGTTGGGATTTATCGTCATCCCACTATCATCTCGTCATACTCCTCCGTGCAATCGTGTCATTAGAAACATAAACCTGCCGAATTGCAAAGTATCATCGGTGCAAAATTACAACCACGTCGCGTTTCCCATCCCGAGCTCGAGTTAAAAATAACAAAAATGATAACGGGGAGCATCCGGCTGGATCGTTGTATCGTTTTATATCCATCCATGTTTCCGCTGTGCGGAAAGTCAAGGACCCGTTTAAAATTTTCAACGATCCTTCCTCGGATTTCTTCCGATGCGACCGAGTGTAATCGTGCAAGAAGCGCGAACATGGACGACAGGTCTTCGTTGGGAGTAAACGCGCGCCGTTGCAAAACGCGAGGAATCGAAGCACGTAACGGTGCAACGAGATTGAGGTAGCGCTTTATATGGTCCTGTAAATTAGATTTCTGTTGGCCCCCTCCTTCGTTGCCAAACATCATTCCGGATTCTCGAGCTCTTTTTCTCTCTCTCTCTCTCTCTTTCTCTCTCTTTCCCACTGTCATCTCGTTTTCGGTCGTTTCCGTCCTCGACGGCACACCGGTGCACGTGTGTCCGCGTTAAAGATACAGTTATGCACTTCACGAAGGAGAGAGGGATGTAACTCAGACAGACTCAGAAGGATCCGTTTTATAACTAGAGATTCATAACGGCACACGATCTCACAATGGACACTAGCTGGCAGCAACCAACGACGGGACCAATGCCTCTGTCCGATGGAATCGATGTCTTTCACGAACCACCGGTTTCTTCACCGTTCTACCCATATCGTAGAAACAATGGCACGCGACAGGATCGAGTTATTCTTTCCTCGGTGTTTTTTCGGCGAAAAAGGGACTTTTTGTTCGAATTTTTTTTTTTTTTTGAAATATAAATTTTTGTTTAACAGACAAGATGTATATAGAACGTAGAGAAGCAAAACATCGCGTTCCTTGTTCTCGATCTCGTTTATCGTTTCGACTAGATTACCGAGCATTGTATAAAATCGAAAGCATCTCCGGATAGACGCGGATAGGCGAGAGGACGCGTGTGCGTATCTAAACCTGGTAGCGGGAAACGTGTATTTCAGACCGGTTTCTTGGAAATCGACGCAAAATATACGTGAGGATGTTCAATGGATATTGAAAGAATTCATCGTTGACCGCGTAAGTGAGAATTTAAGTAGCGAGTACAATTGATAAGAGTGAAATGAATCGTGGAACGAGACGATACGTACGTATGTATTGGACGGTACGGTAACATTCGATCGTATAAATAATTAATGAACGATGAATAATTAATAGCATCGTCGAATAAATATCTACCGCACGTTTAGCTTCGAACAAATTCGAGGGAAATTCGTTACGATACAGGTCGTAAAGAAAATTTATCGGAGAAACGATTGAAAATACGATACACGGCGATAACGATATATTAATAATAGGCGTCGTGTCGATGAAATGGAATTTAATTGACGTTAATGAGCGTTACGCAATACGAAAATGATACGAAACGCACACATAAATGGGAATAACACGGTGGTTATTTCGTTTAGAGGCGTATTTATTATTTCCTTCTTAGGCGGAGCATTCGCAAGGAGGAGGATGAGCGCGACAGTTGGCTCGTCACAAAAGTAAAACGACCACTTCCCCTTTCCGAGCTGCAACTTGCCTTGCAAATCGTGCCAGCATAAAACGAAGCGTCGTTTCGAGCGGTGGGGAAAAAATAATTATCCAGCGGTGTCTTTTTGTGGAAAACGGAGAAGCCTTCCGTTAGAAACCGCCGTGAAACGCGATCGGAGACACACGACATGATAGAAAGCACTAGTTTCGCGCATCTTAATGGGTTAATAACGATAATCCCAGGATTCGGACCATCCTCCTTGATCGACGATATTCTTTCGTAAAAATGGTAACGCCTTCCGCTTGGCGATCCCGGTGAAAAGCATTTCGACCCCTCGGCTAGAAAGTGTTTGTGTTCGTGTGGAAAGAAGCGACGATCAATGGGCGTATCTCGTCTCTTGCTCGAGCATTAATGACTTCAATTTCCTGTGGATACAGCGGCTAGCATCGAGAGACGAATCATTCGTGTCGAGGACGGATTACAGCGTGCATTAGCGCTTGGAAAACGAAGGAAAACCAAGTCTCTTGGTAGCTACCGAACACAGGTTCCACTCGTATACGGATATTATCGGATGGTATAGAAACAATTCTTTGCGACAGTTCGACGAACGTTCTATTTAAAATTTCCGACTGTATCGTGGCTAAGAATCGATTTAATCGGTACCAGTAACCGACCCTACTACTGGATACAATTCATTCAAATGTTATTCAGCTTTTTGCGCGTGACTGAGATTAAAACGCAGACACGAGCAAAGAGCGTTGTATAATATTCGACCGATCGAGATCTCACCGTGATCGAATCACCATTGTAAATCAAGTCTTGGACGATACTCGGGCTTTCCTCGAAGCTGATTTTTGTCCGAACCTTTTGCAGAGAAACGTTCGAACAAGTTTTATTTTCTTATCGAAATTATCAGTTCTTTAATTTTTAATTTAAACAAGTAAACGGTAAACGCGCTTTGTCGGCAATCGTAAGTGAGACACGATTATTCGCACGCTTTTACCGCCTTTATGATTCATAGCACACGTTAAATTCGTAACCACGAATGGGACACACCCAAGACTCTATATCCAACCTGCAATCACCAGGCTATATCTGTTTGCAAATCTTTGCAAATACCGAAGATACAATCCTCTCATTTGGAATTTCTTTCGATAGTTGAATGATCGTTAAATCAATGATAACTGAGAGTCAAGGTGGATGGTCATCGCGTGTTTAGGGTTAACGAACCAGAAATATTTAAAAGCAGGCACGGCAGGCATTTTTTGAATGCATAATTTATCGCGACGAGGAGAGCGTTTACGCGGATTCATCGTTGACTCGTCGATATTACCGTATGTAAAAAAAT